GAGGAAGTATAAAAACAAGAGCAGCCCCTCCCCACTTTTGTCTTTCTGTCTCACTCATGAGTTCTTCCCCTCACACGCTCCTGTTATTGTGATGCCACTGACTGTGGAACCCTCACCAGCCTAACTGGAGGCCAGTGCTGGACTTCTGAACCTTTACAACGGAAAGCTAAATGTTTCTTTTCTTTACAAATTATCCAGGCTGAGGCATTTGTTACAGTAATGAAAACAGAACCATCAGCATGAGAGCTAATATTTGAGAACTTGACTATACACCAGATTTGTACTCCGTTTTTTACATTCATCAAATCCCTAAGGTAGATACTATTATCCCAATGGAACGTAAGACACAAAAGGTAAAGAATTTTCTCTGGCTATAAACCAGGCCACAGATACAAGACTTGAATTTAAAATTCATACTCAAAATCACTGTAGCATATAGCAGCTCAGCCGGGTGTAGTGGTGAATATCTGGGATTCCTGTATTCTGGGAGGCTGAGACAGGTTGACTGCAAGTCTGAGCCCACCCTGGGCAACTCAAGTAAGATCCTGTCTCAAAAATAACCCAAATAACCACACACACCCACAGCTTCTCAGGAGACTATTTTTCTTACCACTTATGGTGGGAAGATGATTCAGAATTTCAGTTTATTCTTAAAACACAGTCTTCTTTGTACACTTGACCCTTTCATGCTGTAACAGTAACTTATTTCTTGGCTAACTACTCCTGTCATTATTAATAATTTCAAAATATACGTAGGTACTATAACTTTCAACACTTATATTCAATTCTTTGAATTTCTCTTTCCATCATCCCACCTCCACTCCCATCTTTACATCCTAGAACCTATAGTCATTAGTAACTGTTTTCTAATATTTTCAATTTTAGTCACCTCTTCTTTCAACCTCATGAATTTCTAATTCCTACCTCTGACGAAGAACTTCAACACATCTTCAGCTATACTGCAATCTATAACTGACCACCATACTATTTTGTAATATTTCTTAATATTTTTAACATTCTTAGTTCACTTCTTTCCCAGATGATTTCCTGGGTACCACTTTTATAAATGTTCTTTTGAATACATCAACCCTTTTTGTCCTTCCCTACTTTGTTGTATTCATCAAGGAAACTCTTTGGCTAAAGTCAACTCAGTAACTGCACTAATATGGAACTTCACTGGAGAAAGGTTGAAAACCATGTTGATAATCTTACTTAACAACCATGGGCTCCAAATACAAGTAGGTTCTTTAGGTATACTTTAGGCAGTACCTACAAGCAGCAAGGTATGTTTAGTCTCTCTTTCCTTGATCTCAATTTCACACCTTCCTTTCTTCTATCCTTCATGACTTCCTCTGTTTCACGACCTCACTTTCTATTTCACTGAGAATAAAATTTTTAACTGCCACACTAGAGACCTTCAGACCTACATAATTTGTTCTTTATCCTATTGTTATTAATGTGTTCCTTAGATGCTTATCTTTTTGTTTAGAAACCAGATCTACCGTGCATATTCTTTTCCTTCCTGCATTAACCTAATCAGCCCCATTAGCATAAAAATTTGCTTTATCTTCAGCCTTAAGAAAACAAATACTTTGTGGAGGACCACCATGGCTCTCCCTGAAAGAAGTGTCCATTTTGGGTAACCCTTGCCCTAACTTCCATGTATTGGTATGTACAGAGCTGTCTAAAAAAATACTTTACCCCCTCAACTGGCTTTAAGAAATGCAAATGGGTCTAGCTGAGGTGCTGATACGTAGCCTCTGAAGCAATGGGACAGGTGAGTGATGCCCCACCTATAGCTCCCAACTACTAAGCTTGAGCTAAGCCAACAGACACCCATGCTGCCCCCTGAGACTGGGCCTCAAGCAAGAGGCTGTGATGTCCCAGGGCAGGATGGACAGACATCAAAGCTGAGGCAACCAACCAAAAACATTAGATATTTCCTTAAAGTGTTATGCAGATTCTTCCACACCTAGAGGCTACCTGTTACCCGAATCAGGTACTACTTCTGCATACCTCTCTGCATACCACACAGTGCTGCTGTGCCTCCTACCTCACCCAGCACACAGCACTCACGTACTTCCCACTGTTCTCACAGTCACTCAACCCCAAGCCACTTCCCTCTTCACAAATCAATGAAACCTGTTCAGCCTTGGGTCATGGCCTATGTTCCGGTTAGTCACTGTTCCAACTGGACTTAGGACCCACCCCCTTGGCTCCCCACAACTACTGACACGTTTTCATCACTTTATTCTCGCCATGGGTTGCAGTGGAAATGGTGGACTGGAATGTACTTGTTAGAATTACTAATTTTTCCCTGGGATTACAAATATAAACTCCTCTGGACTGTGACAAGGACCAGACAATCCTCTATAGTTCTTGATATCATATTTTCCTCAATTCTATTTGAAAGCAAGACACAGTGTCTTTATTCTACTTGACAGCAAGACTGCTTTTAAGAGCAGTCTTAAAATTTCACTATTCCTACCTTTAACAGTCTGTTTGAACCCACTTTGCAATGTTTTAAGGAAAAAGGAAAAAGATGTGACTTACAGGATTTTACCAGGAGACCTACTGGGAGTGACTCTAAGGTGAAGATTTTATTACACAGAGATAGGAGATTATAAAGTCGGACAAAATATCAAACTTTTCCTATTTACATAGGAAATTATAATTCCTATGTACATACTGGAAATTGTAATTTCCCTAAACTGGGACAAATCCTCTACTACTCAGAAAAACAAAAAAAGAGAAACAAAAAAAGTGACTTCCAGTAAAACTCAGAGCCAAGCAAAAAATATAACCACTGCTAAAATAACTACAAGAATTTAGAGTATGTTAAAAATAAACCTTCAGGGCTAGGAAAATGGCTCAGAGGCGCAGTACCTGCCTGGCAAGCACAAGACCCTGAGTTCGAGTCCTGGTTCCAAAAAAGAAAAAAGAAAAAAATATGTAAATTGAAAAAAAAAAAACGTGTAAGTGGACTGTATTCAGAAAAGAATGAAAATAGCAATATTTATGGCCATTAAAGAAAATTTAATTATAAAACTAAAATTTACATAACTAAGTTATACTTTCCTAAATGTACAAACCAATAAAATAAATTATGGCCCACTGCCACTCCCACCATAGAGGGACCTTGGTGAGACGAACTGAGCCACACACAAAGAAGAGACCCTGCCCACTGCCCCTCAGCATCCAGGAAGCCTTGGTGAGCCGTGCTGAGCTCCGAGGGAGGGGACAGACCCTGCCTACTGTACCTCCGCAATTTCGGGAGCCTCCCTCTGGAGGAACTCAGGTGCCTGGCCCACTTCCCTACACCACAGGATGGGTAACCAGCAAGCGAAGTGCCCGGGACACAGCAATCTGCTTGTATGGAGAAACCCAGGGTAAATCCACCCAAACATGGGAAACACTTTGCACACAAACTCGTAATTTATAACTGGTGCTGTAATGTAACTGCAGACTTTGCTCCTATGGTTTCATGTACAAAATTAATAGTTAACACACTCTGAAAAATTTATAAATTGTGCTTGATTCTATCACTATGGCTAATTGTATTACCGCAGCTACGATGTCACATCTGTTGCACTCAGTTGTTCTCCTATTGGAAAGCTCTGGGGTAATAACCTCACCATACCCTACAACAACGGACTGGAGACACAGCCAAACAAAAACTAATATTCCACTCAATTAATTGGGAAGGTAGGATCTTGGGCCAGACACAATCTATATACACAAGAAATGCCTGAAGAATAGACTTTTCCTAGAGGCCTTGATGCTAGTGATATAGCTACCTACTACCAAAACTCACAAGGATCAAAACAGAAAAAATTAAAAAGAAAACTTTTTCAAATAGAAAATGTCAAGAAGGAGCAAAAAGGCAAGCTCAGATCTTTAGCCCACCCAGAACAACTCCAGGAGACATCTACATTGAAGAAATTAGAAGTCACACATCTGAAACTTCTGAAATGATAGTAACTAAAGAAACAACTCCTGGAGGCTATACAGGAAATGAGATAAACAAACTCTTGTGAGATGGAGAAATACAAATGTCAAATAAACATGAAAAATATCTTCAACATCATCGATCATCTGTGAAATGCCAATTAAAACAATGAGATTCTATCTCACCCCAGAAAGAACAGCTATCATCAAAAAATCAACCAATAACAATTGTTGGGGCTGTGGGGAAAAAGGAACCTTTCTCCACTGTTCATGGGAGTGTAGACTGATACAACCACCATGGAAGTCAGTGCGGGTACTTCTCAAAAAACTAGGGTTAGAGGTCCCATTTGACACAGCTATTTGCCCTCTGGGTATCTTCCTAGAAGAATTAAAAACATCACACCACAGTGATATATGTGCACCAGTGTTTACAGTAGCATAATTTGTAATAGCTAAATCTTGGAAACAACTCAAATGTTATCAACCGAGGAATGGATAAAAAGATGTGGTATGCTTAAAAAATGGAGTATTACTCAGCTATAAAGAAAGACAAACTTGAGGCTTTTATAGGTAAATGGATGCAAATAGAGACCACACTCACAAATAAAATAAATCCGACCCACATGTGTAAACACTGTATTGTCTCATTAGTGTGAGAAACTGAAAGAATAAATAAGATACAAAAGTACAATAGATACTGTGAAAGAAAAAGAAACTGCTCAAAGGGAAGAAACAATTGGGATAAGCGAAAGGAGAAAAGAAAGAAAAAGTACAGGAAAAAAAATACGTATATATATATATATATATATATATATATATACACACACACAAGGATAGCTGAGACAATTGTACTGCTGATGTCTATTAGTTTATTAAAAGGAACAGTTAATGCTTACATTTTTTTGACCAATTTTGCATGCTTATACCTTGTAATCTGAACAACTAATTTGAAGACAACAATATGCAATATAACAACCATTGTCAATTTTCTATTGTCCTTTTTGCAGTTTTATCTTTTTTCCTATCTTTAGAATAATGAAAAGTACAAGTACTATTTTGTCAGAAAGAAAATAATTTATTATATATGAGGCATATCATTGTAAAAGTTGTAATATATCTCCAATAAATTGCTTTAAATGGATATTGATTTAATTTTTGAATATACTTTTAAAGCTGTTACGCACAGTTCCATAGTCCATGTAGTGAATTTCTTCTCAAAGTTGGAAAGAACTTGAAAGACACGTAATTCAAGAGGAACCTAAAATACCACAAAAGCTCATTAAAAATAGTCATTATTATAAAAGTTTATCAGTTTGAAAATAACTGAAGCTAAAAATTATATTTAGAAAATTAGTGAATCATGTCAGCATAAAATTGTATGTTTTAAATGGGAACTCATTTGTAACATGAAAGCATAAAACATTTTAATTGCGCTTATCAAAAACTGTACCATTCCTATATCTATAAGCTCTTTTTAGTTACAGGTGATAATGATTATTCCAACCATTTTACTTCAACAATATAGTATCCAAACTAGTAGTCCTTAAATTACTACAGAAATGTTTTCAAATTAGATTCTTGGAACTCATTCTCAGAGACTCCTATTTATTACTCTTAGGATTCATCTAGGAATCTTTACAAATAAAAATACTTTGTCAGTGGTTCTCCACTTTGCACATTAGAATCACTTTGAAAAGTTTGAAAAATTGTAAAACCCAAGCTACATTCCAAACCAATACAATATAGTACCTACTCTCTGTGGAAGGAACCTAACAATGTATTTTTAATTTTTGTTTATTATTTTTCAGTTTCCAGGTCATTCCCATATGCCACCAAGCCTGAGAAGAACTGTTAGGGGTAATTTGGGTTAATGAGCCTGGGAATCACTACCCTTATATTATTACCAGGATCATTTCTTTTCGCATCATTGAGCTATCCTAAGTCAATCTTTATCTGTTATCTTCTACCTTATTACTCTTTTCCTTATTACTCTTTTCTAAGTCAATCTGTTATCTTCTACCTTATTACTCTTTTCTTACCCTTTTTTTCATTTCTGTAAAAAATTTTATGTGCTATCTATGTTAATGGAAATTTCAGTGAGACTTCAAATGTGAGGTCTTCTACTTAATTTGGGATTTATATATAAAATTATTTTAATTTTCAGTACAAGTGCTTTTTTAAAGAAAGTAACTTGTTTTCCCAATCATGTCATACGGAATGTGTAAATCAGATGTACCTTAAGGTAGAAACCGTAAGTTACTGAATTAGGTTAACAAACACATCAGTAGAAATGCAAGACTACACTCTGTGCAAAAGCAAATGCGTACATTCTCTGAGTAGGTTGACCTGATTCACTAACTTTCCCTAGAAAACTGTAACCTAAATGACAGCAAAGAAAATTCAACAACAAATCTAAAAAAAAACCGTAAGTTTCTTTCAAGCTACAGTTTTAGAAACATTTCATTTGCATAAAGTATAAAAATTATTTTTTGTCCTAGACCAACGGACAGAATAGGGACAAAACATTTCTAGGAAACAAAACAAAACAAAAACACTGCCCCAAAAAGGATACAACAAGAAAGGATACATTTTGCATGACAGTATTACAGCAGTATGTACGCAGGAATACTTCTAAAGAAGAACAGCAGAATGCAGTTTAAATTTTTGCTTATTTTTCAGCATTAGATTTACAAAGAAATGACTTTCTTAAATATATACTTAAAATTCTCAATATTCCTCCAAGGTATTTATGGACTTCTGAGTATACCACTACAGATAATTTAAAACAAAATGCAAATATTAAAAGCATCTTAAAGAGATTAAACATTTAAGCAAAAATTTCTTATTTAACATTTGCTAAGCAATATTAACTTTAAAAACTTCATTTAATGATTGTTTACAAAGGGAGAAAAAATTCTTAAAAAGGAATAGATTTTCACCTATTTCTTAAATTAATATAAACTTTAGAATCTAAAATGTTTAGTTCTGCCATTTCTAACCATTAAATTACTTACGTATTAAAATTATTTGTTCCATAGGAAAAAGATTCAACTCCACATAAACATGTCTTTCTGTGTGTTACAAATTAATTTCATATAATCAGCACTATACAATCTGAAGAGCTAGAAAATCTTTAACTTCTTTGCTAAGGAGTTTTTAAAAGTATGGTTCCTAGACCAGCTGACCCATTATTACCTATAAATTCTTTGGTATGCAAAGGCTCAGTGTCCCCAGGGTGAGCAACTGACCCCGGCCTGCCAGGTGCTCTGCTCCTTTGGGGAAGGACTGCACGTGAGCAACCCCTCAGCTGCAGGTACCTGGGACTACTGGTCTCTGACTTTACTCACTGATCAGAAACTCCTGGCAGGAGGGAAAAGCCTAGCAGTTTGTTTTATCAAGCTCTTCCAAGTGCAGAAGTTTAAAACCAACTTCTTTAGGTAGAAAAATTATAGACACGTTCTCCTTGTATAATAACTTTTATATACAAATGGACTTTATTCTGTAGTTATAACTTTGAAGTTTAATGGAAATTAATTTTAAACATTGGTATCTCTTTAAAAATTCTTTACATACCTAAATCATTATTCTATCAGACTTTTACCCTTGCTTAATTTTACTTTAAAAACATATAGTATTGTCTTTTTACCATGTTTTGTCCATACTCACCTTTGCTAGGTTTTAACACTTTCTTTTTCCTTCTTTAGAATCTTGCTTTGGCCTGGCAGATCGAGCAAATTGCTAACATTTTAAAATTAAGGTTTCATTCATGAACATGAGAATAAATTATTTTTCTAAATTAATTATCAAAAACGTTCTAATATGGAGAAGGAATACTTTTTAAACTTAGTCTGACTACTTCCTGCCTGCTGGTCATGATGTGGAAGAGAAATAAATACTAACCTTTCTTTTTTTATAGTTAAGATATTTGCACCTTTACCTTTCTTGCTGATTCCTAGTTTATGAACTGCAACCACTAAAAATGGTTAATTATAATCTGGTTTTAAAATTCTCAAGCAGAACTGTGAATCATAATAAAGTCATAAAACTACACTCAATGACATTTTGGTGATACTAAAGGTATTTCCAGACACCATAATCTCTTAGGTTTAGTGTAAGGATGTACTTTTTGGGTGGCATAAATGAAATGTTTAGACATGGTTCAAATTCAATAACCTCACACTTCTGAATTGCCTTTATTTTCCAATCAAAACCTAAAAAAGACTGTGATCTGACTCAGCTAACGCATGTTTCACTGTAACTAAATAGCTCAAGCTAGAATTCCCACTGTGGAGGAAGCATGAGAATTAGTTTTATTACATCCTTCTCTTACAAATTATACCGTTTGGGACAAGCTGATTTAAAGGATACAACCACCATGGGTTTTCCAAAAAGGACATATCCATTAGCTTCCTTCAAGGCTTTGGCTGCTGCTTTTTCGTTGGGAAGTCCTATGAAAGCTTGTCCTTTCATGCGACCTTCTTTCATCAGGCGTATATCAAACCTACAGGGGGAGAAAGTAGTTCTGATTTGAAGAATATCAAACAACTTCAATACAGAATGAAAATGTGATCAATTTAATTTTGCTACTTCAAGGTAAAAATGACTACAATGACTCTTAGGCTTTCTAAAATTCCGTTCTTTCTACAAGTAGGTAGTATGAGTTTCATCTGTTCATTTTCTACCTTTTAAATTATACATGTTCATAATTTTAAAAATTACATTAGTAGGATAAGGTTAAAAGCGAACATGTTGAATTTTCTAGAGTGAATCCATTGCCTTGCACAAGGTAGGCAATACTTCTACTATTGAACTACTCCCTAGCAAAGGAAACTTAAGTTTTATGTCATACCAATTTTTAAAGTTTCTTATAGTCAATTCTATACTATCTACTCTAGTGACCAAAAAAAAAAAAAAAAAAAAAAAAAAAAAATCAAAAATAGCTGACAAGAACCAATTATAAGCCATTATAGAATTTCGGGGTTGGAAGGAAGCTTACAGGATACCTAGACAATGACTCTTTAAACCAGACAGCTAAAGCCACAGACTTTCTTCCTAGCAGTGTTCTGCTATTCTATAGTATTCTCATTTTCAACAGTTCTGAGAGAAATGACTGGTCTCATAAGAAACAATTTACCATTTGGATATCAATATATTCTTCATTAATATTTCTCAATATAGATTCTTTCTCTCCCAGGACTGGGATTGAACCCATGGCCTTTAGGCTGAGCTATATCCCTGGCCCCTTTTAAACTTTTTATTTTTGCGACATGGTCTTGCTAAGCCATTAAGCTGTGTAGGATGCACTTGAAGTTGTGATCCTCTTGCTTCAGCCTCCCAGAGCGATGTAGTTACAGACATTCACTACCAAGCCAAGCAGAATTATTTTTTCACTTCAAATTCTAATTAAAGGCAATACTGGAAACAGAAAAAATGTATACAAAGATATTCATATGCATTTATACAATTTTTTTCTTATAATTATGATTAGCAACTATAGAACAGGTATTTTGCATGGGCAGAAAAATAAGCTTCTTGTATCTTGATAAGAAGAGATAACTGCTGCTAACTGAATATGAATGGGGAACTTTAAGATTTGGTGATACCTATACACACCTATCTAGAGATACACAGACCAGGTACTTACTCTATTAAAGGTGGTGGTTTCAATTAAAAGTTAACTAATTAAAGTCATTTCTCTTTATCTCCATTGAAAGCTTTTTACTTTACATTTTCTACTTTGTCCTAATTTTAATTATATGGCCAATATCTTTCTTCCTTTGGAATAAACTAACATGGGATTTCAAACCATGAAGTTCTAACTCCAAACACTGGTTTTTCTGTCATTTACAAAACATAACCCTGGTATTCTGCTTTCATAGAATTGGGAGCTTTGCTTAGTGCAAACCAGTTAAGAGATGAGAATTTCTCAAAGTATAAATAAAAAACTGCCTGATGAGTATACATGTATTCTTGAAGGAAACATTAAACAGTGTTTTTAAGTGCAATCTTAGGACTAGCAGCATCAGAATCACTCAGGAGTTTTCTAGAAATACAAGCTCATGAGTTCTCACCTAACCTAGAAAGCGAGGCTCTCAGGACATGTGACTAGGAAGCTGTTTTATCAAATGCTCCACGTGTTATGGCTTGTATCTAGATGTCCCTCCAAAGCTTCCTGTGGTCACAGGGTGGGGCTTTACAGAGGTAGCTGGTTCCAGGGTGTGTGACTCTGGGATTAAAATGTGTGATACTATGATTAAATGTGTGACGCTGAGATTACAAGTACCCTACCCTGGATGTGAGTGCTACCCAGCCAGCCTAAGGGCAGGTAGCCTAGATGGAATATTAAGGGACAAAAAGAGGGTTGTTGCTGCTTCTTTGCTACGTCACAGCTTTACAGCCTTCTGGCAGCCATGAATTGTTTCTCCTCTGTGAGGCCCCTCTGCCATGCCACTCTGCCTTGGAGCCAGCCAACTATGAACTGAAACCTCTACAAACTGTGAACTAAATAAACCTTTTCTCTAACTTTGGGTGTTGGATATTTTTTCTCAACAGTGAGAAAAAGTGACTAGGACATCAGGTGATACTAAAATAGTGTTAAAGCTTGAGTACCAATACTGTAGGGCAGTGGTGGCCTATCCATGGCACTCATGCTGCAGTGGGTTTTTTGTGAAACAATCACTGAAACTCTGAAAAGGCTCGCTATCACTGCTTTAGGGTAAGGACGAGGGCCAGATTATTTCTCAAGACCTAGTTTTGAAAGTAAAGATGCACTGAAATAGAAATGTGAATATTCATTTTTGTAGAGTTTATGGCTGCTTTTGTGCTACAACTACAAAAAACTAGCTGCAACATAATATGCCTTGCAATGAAACACTAAAATTTTCTTGTCCGCCCGTTTACACAAGTTGAGCCACTCCTATTCTAGATGTCTAATACTACTCATGCAAATAGACCAACCTCTTCATGTGATTTTCAGCTGGAAGAAATAGGGCCATAACAAAAAATGGTAAATTCATAACAGATACAAACAGTTTGAGTTTATGACTGCCACTTACATGATCCGTTGTGTTTCTGATGAGAAGTCAACATATCGTCCAAAAATGAATTTAAGGTCCTAGAATTTCAGTAACAAAAAGGTAAATACAGAAGCCAGTGGAAAACAAGGTAAAATACAAACAATTCAAAATTTTCAACTTACTTTTTCTTGAACATGCTTGGCTAAATTCTTTACATAAATTCTACAGTTGGGTTCACCAGGTTCATAACTTCTGAAAACTGAAAGTGTCTCCATTTCTTATTCAAGGAGAGACAAAACAAGGATATAAAATGAAAACACTTTTACCAACTTTCAAAAAAATTATAATAAAAATCATTACTATGATAAAAATTACATCAAAAACCTCATTTTCCTAACATGTATGAAAACAGTAAAAATCCTATAGAAGCAACAACTTTATTATTTTAGGATATAAAATCCTGAAACATTCATTTTTAATCATCCATTTTTTTAGTATCATTTTGTATACATCTGAAATATAGTATTTTGATGGTCTATAAACTATATTGCATTTGATAAACTCAGATTTGGAATGCATTCATTTGTTTTATATGCCACATGAAGTTATAAAAATAAAAAAAAATTTTCACAAATATAGTCTGTAAACATTGTACGAAAAAAAATTTCCCTATATGAAATATGGGTTATCAAAACCAAAAAGAGTGATATACTATTAACTAGAGAAATATTTTACAGTGTGTGCCTTAAACTACATGCCATGAACAGATGTTCTGCTTCTGTAGATCTGAGAAACCACTTTGAAGATTTCAATAGGTAATACCACAACCATTGTTAATTTCCTACCAGTTTGTCCGTAACTCTGTATTGTTTGTATTGTTCTTATGCTATTTTGTAAATGGATGTCTGTTTGTTAATATGTTTTCCTTCTTTTATTTTTAAAATAAATTAACAAAAAATAAAGAAATGTAAGACAGACTATGTGCTGGTTTATTTCATGACATTACCTTCCCTAGAAATTCTGCCTTTTTCCAACTCCCTTCTAGAAATACATTCTGAGGGCATTTCATCAGAGTCTTCTTTAACCTCTTCTGTGATGTTCAAATTAGGTTTGGGGAAGATTTTTCCAAATCCTATACTGGATGCTTCAACTTCAACAGCAGACAAATCTGAGAGATTAATATTAACATTAGTCATTAAGAATATCTCACTTCAAAACAGTTTTCAGGTTCCTTTTTGCCTATTTTTAATTTAACAAGCTTTTTTTTTGTTTTCAAATTCTTTGCTGACTCAAGGTTTTAAACAGGCATAAGTAAATCTTTTCCATAAAAATTCAAATAGTAAATATGTCAGGCTTTATAGGCTACACAGTTTCTGTTGTAACTATTCATTCTGTTATTATAGCATGGAAACAGTTATTTACGAGAGCTAAATAGCCAACCAGTTGCTTTATGGTGCTTTTGAGAGACTCTATAAAAGAGAAGAGAAAGCGAATTTAGTCTGAGCATATTTTGTTCAATATATGACAAAAATGTTTAGTGAATATATCTTACCTACTCTGATTTTTTTACCTACTTTACTTACTACTTTTACCTTCTTTTTTTTAACTTACTTTTTTTTGGTTTTTTTCTTTTTTTTGAGGCATAGGCAGATGTAGTGAACAGGGAACAGACACACTCAAGCTTAAATAACTGGAGGGGGCACACTGATACAGAGGCTCAAACTTCCCCCCCACTCAAATTTTAACTACTATATGAACGAAAGAAAATCTGTAATCAACTGAATAGCTTACATAATTAACAATGGTACTCTGCGAATGAGAGAGAAACCCCTAGATTATTCATCCAATGAAGACTTCATAATGCTACCCCAGAATACTGTGAAACAATTTTCAATCTTCTAAAAAACACTTAAAAGACTAACATTTGCATATACAAATCAGAAAATTAACATCCACATATAAACACTGTAAATATGACATTTCCATTTGGGGATACTAAAAAACATGCATTAACCTCCCACTCCACCAAGAATAAAGGTAGTAATTTTGAAGCTAAAAGAATAACAAGTATTTACACATTTAAAGCTTCAAATTTTTAATTTTAAATAACATACTGAATTTTATTCATAAATATCAATCAGTACCAGTAAGAATCAAACTGGCTTGAAAGAGAATATTTGGAAGCATGTTAAATGTTTAGAAGCAATACGCTAGCCATACTACCTAAACAAAAGCAAAAAAAAAAAAAAAAAAAACAAACACATCCTAAAGACACAGGTGGGAAAATGAAACTAAGAACATGCCCCATTAAGAATTACACAAATGTCTTCACAATGCAGAAAAGACACTGTACAAGCAGAACTTCTGTGACCTGAAAACAAAAAACTTTAAATGCTTCCACTGTTACTTCAACATCAGTACTTTGGACTGTGATATAAAATGCAATGACTGCCCCCTCCCACAACGGTATAAAGCCTTCTATAAATCAAACTTTAAAAAAAGAATCTGTATCTCCGTCTCTGGGAACATGCTCTTGAGAGGGACTGTGGAATGCCAGTCTCGTGCTCGTGCTCTGTCTCTGCTTGGTACCTCTCCTGAAGTGGGCAGCTTCCTCCACCACATGCCTGCTCCCCACGATGTGCTGCCTCAAGACAAGCCCCAAATCTATAGGTCCGCTGTCACATGGACCAAAACCCCAGAAGAGCCAGTACTAACTCTGCCCCTGCTTTAGTTGACTATCTGATGCATTTTGTTATAACACCACCAAGTTAACACACAGGATAAGGTCTTGCAGGGTGGAGACATACATACATGCACATGCACACACACACACCCCCAGCTACAAACATGGTTACCTCTATGAAGTAGGAAAGAACACAGCCCCAAGGTATTCACTTCGTAAAATATTTTCTTTGTATGACTGTTTTAATATATATAAACTTTAATTCTAACACATCAAATTGACTAGCACAAGAATTAAAATATTCTTACCACAAATTTTTTCCTCATAATGTTGTTCTTTCGGTAAATCTTTATTAAATACATTTGGCATGTCAGCAGATATATGGAATTCAATTCTTTTATTGCCTACAGGTTGTGTTTGGTCAAATACATCTGACGGTAACAGCACAGGATGTAAACTGCTATTGAAAAAAATCACAGCATGAGTTTAGGATTGGAAATAGAATTCTGAAAACTTGGTTACAAATTTAAATTTAAAAAGCTCATATTAATAAATATTTCCTACACTACAAGTATTGCAAAATGATCTAGATTTGATATTTCAACAAACTAACAAATGTGCTAAAGTGAGCTATTTAATTCCCAGCTTATATGTGAGGTAACTGGAGCTAAAAGATGTTAATTTGCATAAATCACCTGAAAGAAAGGCCTTGAGGCATGGTATATCAGACCCCAGGATATATACCAATATGGGGAAAAAAAAGTTCATCCTGTTACTATACGTTTTTAATGCAATGTATTTACACACTATGTAATAAATTGTTAATAGACACTAGCTGTGATTTTACATAAGAATGTAAAATACCAATTTTTTGTACGGATTATATGATTTTATTCTGGATAACATCCATACTAATTTCATTCATTTTTACTTTTTAATGTGGCTACTAGAAAATTTCACATGACTCATTTGTTTCTATGTTAAACCTTGCTCATTGTTCATTACTATTTATTGTTCATTACTTGTTTCTATTGTTTTAATCTACTACTGAAGAGATTAAAAGCATGAGACTGCAGTGTCAAGACATACATAGACATACTATTATACATCGTATCATTTCCACTTAAGATTAAAAATCTATTCCTTTGAAAATGGAAAAGAAGTTTTAAAACTACTCTCTCAATTTATGACGTTAATTACAATTTTAAAGGGAAGCGTGCCTTACAGGAAAGCTGAAGTTACAGTTGCAATTAATAGGAAAAGGCAGTACATAAGGGATATAAAAAGACAGTAATATAAAATCGATAGTAGAAGACTTTGAGAGCGGGGATACTCAGTATTATCAAATTCTGGAAAAGTGTAAATTATGAATACTTTTGGATTTGGCAAACAGGAAGCCAGTGATGAACCAAGTAAGCTGGTACCAAGGATTAACGTGACTAAAGCACAGAAAGCACATACAAACTTCATTTAATAGTTGTAAGTATGATTACCTGTGGGAAGCAGATGAAGCTATATTTAACATATCTTTTATTTTTTGCTTTTTCCTCACATGGCGCTGCTTTGTCATCTTTGGTCTTTTGGGCTGAAGATTTGCTAGTTCCATCAGTTTGGTCATTCTACATTGGGAAAAGTAAACAAGATCTCCTTACCTAAAAGCGTGGTTATTTGATAGTTTCCACTAAGCTTACATATTTATTTGGTACATAAAATAAATTATAACAGGACTTAGTTATCTAACATGGAATGTATGTAGGGAATAAGGCTAACTTCCAAGCCATTAACCAGAGATACCCAATTTGACAAAACTGCACATTACAATGTGCCTTGCTCTACTTATATCTTACTCTAAGGGAAGAATTTAATTAATTACAATTTATCAAGTTTTTAAAAAACGTTTTTACTGCAAACTTTGTCAGCCAAATAAAACACCTGGGCTTAAAGCCAAAAACTGAACATGAAACAGTAATATAACCTCTGAACTTTATTATTCTTTTCTTGACAAAGAGCCAAAAGACCTTATCAATATGGTAAAATTATTGTCACTATTATTTTGGTACTGGGCCCTTACAGGGAGCTATATCCCCAGCCCCGTCTCGTTTCTTATTTTGAGACACAGTTTCCCTAAGTCACTAAGCTGCCCAAGTGAGACTTGAACGTGGCACTGCACCACCACGCCTGGCTAAAATTATTTTGCTTCGTTTTCTTTTCATGAGTACCGGGAATCAAACTCAGGACCTCACACTTGCCAGGCAGGTGCTCATTTTCTAATTACTAAGCAAAGCATCGACTAAGGGTGTCAGTGGAGTGTATTCTATGCATAATGCTTGCAAATCAATCTTTATAGAAGATAACAAACCTGAGAACAAAGTTTTCAAAGACTGTACTCTGAAATAAACTGGAAGTAAATTCAAGAAGTGATGAATGATACTTTGGAAGACTTACTGGACACTTCCTCTGTTAGGACTATGGACAGTTACTAGTTATTTGAAGCACAGGAATACAAGTATGTAAACTGTTCACCCAAAGTAATACCAAACGTCTAAATCAGGGCTAAGTATACATTATGTAGTCAAGAAATACTTCTGAATAAATTAATTACACTATTTTTTAAAAAGCTTTTGTTACATTCCTAGAAGCTGAAAGAGAAGCATGCAACCAGAGGTAGGCCTGTAAAAGACTTTGTTCTCTCCCATGAGGCAAAATGAATTACTGGCAGAATTCCACATTGCATCTTTAAATAGAAAGCTACAAAACCCCCCAAAAACAAAAAACAAAAACAACGAAGGGTTTTGGCCAATCTGTATATCACATTTTTACTATCATTATTTTAATAAAGAAAATAAAGTTCAAAGAGGATAAGTACTTAAAAATTCGTTCAACATTTTAGTATTATTTCTTTTACCAACAAGTTGAAGTTCTGTCTACCACAGGTTGACAGTTTTGCTAAATGTCTATTCAAGACAGCCATTAATGCCCATTTTGTCGTTTATGCCCGTCTACACTTTAAGTCTTCCCACAGAAATAGAACATGTATTAAATCACTATTTAGGTGGACTATGACTCAGTAATCCCACAACTGCTGCTATCTGCAGACACTGCCCGCAGTCTCTGCTTTGGTGCTAACGTCAACCATTCTTTTCACATCTCACTTCTGAGCATCGTTACCTAACATTTCCGCCATCTGCCCACACCACTTTGTGTAAGTCAGGGACTGGCAAACTACTGCCCCAGGGCCCAGTCCTGACAGACGCCTCTTCTTACGAAGTTTGGCTGGGACAGTCACACCTACGCATTAGGTGCTACGGCTTCTCTCCTACTGGGAGTGTTAACAGCCATATGTGGTGGCACCTAAAATCTCAGTGAAATGGAAGGCTCAGGCAGAAACATGGGCAACTTAGTGAGATCCTGTCTTAAAATAAAACGGGCTGGGACTACAGCTCAGTGCAAAGGCCTGGGTTCAATTCCCAGTATCACTAAAGCAAAACAGCTGAGTAATAGTTAAGACAAAGATCAAAGATAACCTGGCGCACAAAATCAACCCCGTTTATTGTTTAGACAGAAAATGCTAGGCAATTCCTACTTTAAGCTAGGTTGTAAATTCTGTTTCTGAATACTACTAACAACTTACTGCCCTCTGTCAGAATCTTTGAAATGAATATATTCCATGGAAATAAGCTGTCAAAATAATTCACATAATTTACACATATTATTATGTGTAACAGTTATGCATTGTAAGATTACCACTAATACTATATTAGTGAATAATGAATCACTGTTCCCAGAATTCAAGGTTATGCTCCTTCAACCCTCTGCTTGCATTTCATCCAATGATCTTTACATATCACTGCTTTATGTCAGTGTAGGGACACCTAATTTAATACACATTGTTGATTCTATAACACTGATCTCACAGTCACCATCAAAACTGTCTAAAGGAAGTTTATCTAACACATGTCATTTTTTCCCCATAAGCCACACCCCCTTCTTGATTTTAGGAGCACTAGACAACATTTGAACACTTTGAGGGCCACTTTGATCAGCAAAACCACCAACACAAAACTAAAAACTGTGAAAAAAAGACACGAGATAAACCATAAAAACAACACGTGTGCGTAGTGATACTGAAACAAAAGGGCAAAGGGCCGCGGCTACACTTTGGACCTGGAATGTTCCCCAGAGCCCACGAATTAAAGCTTAGCTGTCAGGGTGGCACTACTGGGAGCTGGTGGAAGTCTTAGGAGGCAGGGTCTTGAGAAGCCCTCAGGCCACAGAAGGGCCAGGCCCTCAAAGGTGACCACCGAACTGCAGTCTTGTCTTCTCTTTTGTTCCTGGGCATACGGTGAGCAGTTCTGCATACCACATGTTCTGTTGTGCTTTCACCACAGGCCCTAAGCAATTAATTATGGACTGGAACTTTTAATACTGGGAGATACAAATAACCCTTTTCTCTTTGAAGTGATTCAAGCACTTTGCTGTAATGATGGAATGTTAACTTCGTCACTGCTCAAAGCCATGTGGTAACGTGTGTAAATGGGTGAGTAAGCTTTTCAACACACTGCACATACCTACATCCAAAAGATACTATCAAAGCACAGCAAGGATTCATTTGGGAGCTAGAAATAAACTAATCAAGTCAAATTTCAAATGTGAAATTCATAAATAACTCAGCTATTCACTGACCTAAAAATTTATGTGTAATTAAAGATTTTCCTTTAGGTTCGGTTAGTATCCATTCTCAGGTCTTAATCTATAGTTATCACATAAGCTTTAGGAGTTGAGGGAATTGAAGAAATATATGAAAAACATCGAAAGAGCAAGACAGTCTCTTCCACATATATGAACAATTACTTCCTATTACAAACCTCTGCCGATCCTCCTCATCACTGCTTTCATACTCTGACTCTTTACTAGACAACTCATCTTCATCTGGCAAAGGAGGCTCCTCAGGTGGCTGAGGAGACGCAGGAGGAAGAGGCGCATGCAGTGGCATATAGTCTTCATACTACATAAAAGACAAAAGCCCCAAAGTAGTCTGTGACTTTTATAGAATTGAAAAATTGCTTGCATTTAAGTACTCTATTTTCATTCCCCTGTATCGCAGGGTATTCTTTAATACATTCAATACACATTCAGCAACGCCATTGCGGTAGACTAGTAGCTGATCACAAAATCCACCTTCTTTGCCCATCAGCTACACTACAGTTTGCAAGCCTCCCTTGCAGTTACACTTCACGAAATTTTAACCAATGAAATAACAGTACAAAACACTTTCTATATAATCCTCTCTTCCTGATCTGGGAAGGTACATGGCAAAGACTTACCAGGTTTTTTGAATGACCCAGTAGAGCAGAAAATCCCTCTGGCCTATTTCGGAATTTGAATTGACATGCCTGAGAAATAATTCTTATTGTGCTGAAAGACTTAAGAATTTATGTTTGCAGCACCTAGCCTAACCTTAATAACTCTGTAAAGTAAAAATCCTTGAAGGTGTAGGGGTTATAATGAAAAATTATGAAATAATACATACAGCAGAAAAGCATCCGACATCACAGCAAACTCTCTTCTACTTGCATGTTAATACTCAAAATGATCTCAACAGCAAGATTTGCACAATAAATTCTAATAAAAATATCAGTAACTTTTTTTGTCTTTTTCAAATAAAGCTCTACTTACAACATAACTAAAACAATTGAGTTTTTCCTAATTTAGTTAAATGTAATTAACTTAAAGGGTGATAGAACGTTCTGGTGAAAGAAATGAACAACATTGGAAGAAACTTTGGCATCTATAAACAGAATCATTTGTTTCATATTCTAGATTTCCTATTCTTTCAGTGCTCAGCTTTATTTTGAGTGGCAATAGTTACTTTATGTACTATCCCTACTTTCAATGGATAGCCAAGGTTCCTACACTTGCATAATTTATCCTCAACAACCCCACTCAGAAATTCTGACTTCAAAATTTGAAGAGTGTTCTTACCAGGGGAGGTGGTGCAGTAATCGGTCCAAAAGGTGTGGGCAAATTCATTTTATTCATAAGATGAAGTACCTTAAAAATTGTAAATTTAAAAGCACACAGTATAAAATGATGACAACTTCCATTTTATATGTAATAAAATAACTTTGCAGCAACATTATTCATTAGTTTAATACAAAGAAAGGCACATCACTTGCCTTTATAATCCCAAGACAAGGAAACACAAAGCACTCCCGTATCTCAGGTTGGTTTGCTTAAAATGGATTTTCAAGTCTGTAATTATTCTCATTACTAAGAATGAGTTCTCTTGCAATGTAAAACCTGAAATACTTTCATATCCCTGTTCCTGACTATCGTGAGACTATGTAAGAGTGTACAGTGAAACTAACAGCATCTATATTTCCTAACTTAATCTTGTTATTATCAAAATTATTAAGTATTTGCTGAGTCAGGTCCACTATATATTTTCCTTTAAAAATCTCTATATTAAAGACATTATAAAGTAAGAGTCACCACAAATTACATTTCCTAAATAAGCCTCTCTTTATTGGTATTCACTCATAACTGCATTTTACAAAAGCCTATATAGAGAGCAGTATGTAATATTTTACTGCTTGTCTGGATTAAGTTCGATAAACATCATTATAAGTAAGCTAAGAATCTGCATGGAAAAGAAGCTATTGATCTACACAAATGCATACGTTACGCAAAGTAGGTTTTCTTCTACGTACCTGTACATAGAACTTAGGCACACTTGCCAAAGCGTTTACTATGTTTGCTAGGATTGTGCTCGAAGGTGGTGGGTACATATACTTGAGGCATGAATTGAGAGGAAACGTCAGCCTGAAAAACGTTTTTTAAAATGTTTACTATTTTAATAATATCAGTATTTCATTTTAAGTAAACTGATCATGTATGAAACTGTTCCAGTGATACACAGCAAGTCCCCAACTTACAAGTGAGTTTTGTTCTAGGAGAACACTGCTAAGTCGGACTCATTCCTAAGTCTGACAAGTGACTCTTACACATCTTTGACACAAACATACAACGCACACTGCTCTGCGCTTCCTAGCACTGCCCTCCGCATCACCACTGCTTTGCTTCCGGACATCCTGCTCTGACTGGGCACTGTCACACTGCACAGTAAGCACATAGCAGCCCAACTGTCAAACTGTCCGGCAGACGTGAGCTACTTTCGCAATGTGCTCACATCTAGGAATTTTCGTAACGTACGGTCCATTCTTATCTATGAAAGTTCACAACTTGAACGTTCTGTGTCGGAGACCTAGTGTAGTATTCTTATATTTATTTTGGGTCTTAAAGATCCAACTAAATATTTTTAGGAGGAAATTTGCCTTCTGATTGTGTTGTAAGAAACATTTCATATCAGAACTTATTTAATAGATGCTTTCTTTGAACTAAATTCAGTGATAAGCCTTACCTGAGAACGTTTATTTAACATAATTATGTAAGAAATATATTAAAATATTGTTATTTTAACAACTGTCTTTTTATGTATCTACTTAGAAAACAAAATCAAAACAGCAGGAAAACAAAAGTGCTAACCCATGGTTTGGTGCGATTCCATTTTCTACTGTTAAACAACCAAATTCTTTTTTTTCTTTATCATCTTCCACAGTGTCATCAGACCTAGAATACACAGATACGTTCGTCTTATTTTTGGAAAGAGAAAAACACTTACATAGAAAAGACAAATATAATTATTATGAAAACTGTTTCAATAATCCAAAAAATTTTGTGAAGCAAATTTTCAAGAGTTAAAATTTCAATGAAAAATATGCATAGTAGAATTAAACAATACTGAGTATCTTCTGTCTTACTATTATACTAGCATTACATATTTCCATTGCTTTCACAAAAAGCTTACAAACATACTATAGTAACTCTCTTTTTTTGGTCTTTTTGAGACAGGGTCTCACTATGCAGTTCAGGCTGGCCTTGAGCTCACTTTGTAGCCCAGGCTTGTCTTGAACTCGCAACGATCCTCCTGCCTCAGCCTCCAAAGTGCTGGGATTACAGGCGTATGCCACCACGCCAGGCAGTATAATAATTTACTCCTGCCCAAAAAAGGAAAACTACAATTTACATGGTATCTAGAGGCACTCCAGTTTCTTTTCTATCTTTGTTCATACTCATATAGACACCTAGGACCTTACCTCTATCTTCCTCTCCCTTAAGATTCTCATTCAAATAGAGAAGTTATTTAATTACAGGGAACCAAATACTAGCATTTGATTCCAAAGATTATGCCTAATCATGACCTCTCACTATCTTTAATAAAAACTTTATACTATATGCTGACACCCAAAAAACTCCAAAATCTGCAGTTTTTGAGATTCAAAATGATGTCACAAGTAGAAATTCCATAGCTGACTTCAAGTGACAGGTCACAGCTAAAAAAACAGTCAAGCTAAGAACCTTGTATAAAATTAGTTTCAAATTATGTGTTTAAGAGGACTATGCTCACTATAATTTCTTATACATCTGCAAGTATTTTTAAAAAATCTGAAGTCCTTTTGGCCCTAAGCATTTCAGCTACTGACTAATCAGCCTGTAGTTACTTTCCTCCACTAAAAGTAGAATGCTTTTTACCTTACTCTCTTCCCACTTTATGAAATCCTTACATTAAATCAACACTCAGGTTCCCAGTGCACAATTAGAAGCAAAATCAGACAGTTTTACTATACTAGATTTAACAGAAGAACACATCATTTCTGTTTCAAATTATTTACCTGCGAGTGTGAAAACAATCCATAACTATACAATTGATTCTTTAATAAAAAAGGACACTTTTTAAAATGGCAGGAAAACCTACATACCGACTTACCTTTTCTTTTTTTCAGTGCCTGAAGTGGGAGTTGGGGAATGAATTCGATCTTGCTCTTTTGCAAATTCAACAACTAAAGTATGACCTAAAAGTTTCAGCTGATGGAGTCTTGTCAATGCCTTCAGTCAGAAGTAGAAAATTTGATGATTACACCAAACACATATGCCAGGTACCATGTATAGTAACTTACACATATTTTTAGTGCTGTTCTTAATGCTTCAAACATTTCCTTGGCTATTTCCTATCCATTTCTATTTCACAAGATTTTTTAGCTCTTCCCTTTCTTCAGTCTCCCCTCAACATAACCAAAACCATCCTGAAAATAAATTCTGACCTTGCTCAGAATATTCCAGCGGCTCATTTTTCTGAGTAAAATCAATGTCCGTCCTGTAATTCACACAATGAAGACACTACTACTCCTTTGCCTTCAAATCCCATGATTTCCACTTCATTTTGCTTGCTCCTCTAAGTGACTTCCTTAAAAATAACAGGCATACGCACACAGTGGAATTTCTTTGCTCCACCTGCTCCTGACTGAACTGCATTTCTCCCAGGCATCTCCTTAGCCGGCTTCCTTCACATCTGAAGTCCCTGGGGATATACGATCCCGAGTACAACCTAACCCCTCCCTATATCCATCTAGCGCTCCTTATTCTACTGCTTTACTTTTTCTTCTTACTATAGCATTATCTTTTAAAATAGTGAACAATTAAGTTTATTATTTATAATGTCTCCCTTTTTCAGAATGTGTCAGCAAGGGCATCTTTGTTTACTGATATATCCCAACATCTAAACAGCATCTTGTACACAGCTCGTGTTAGTATCTTTTTGAACACATGGAACTGTAGGCTTTAACCAAGGTACAATTTTATGCTACTATTTGCATGTATCAGTATTTGCCCCCTTACTTTATCACACAACACAAATGTAAACAATGCTTCAATAATGTAAGACCCTAAATTAATTCTAGACTAAATTATTAGTGAATCCTTGATTATCTAAAATGAAGTCCATAAGAGCTGAAGTTCTTCCTTATAAAACAGATGTCACATGTATACTTTCAAAGATGTGTAACTTTTCATTTTTGATGTTAACTAATTCCCTTCTCTCAGGTACCTACTCTTATTCTTAACATTTCTTCCTTTAGTTTTTTATCAGTTCCCACTAAGGACAAGTACACTCTAGTCCAAAAGTGTGACCACTTGCCAGTAATTTCGTATTCCAATGTCTGAATCTATATCCTGTCTGCCAAGTTCCTCTTGATTTTAAAACTATGTAGTTTTCATTATCATATTTTATGTGTAATTTATAATGACAGAGACACAGTTCAACAGTTAAGTACTTTTAACCTTGAAATAATAGAAATGATCCAAACTCTCATCAAAATAGAGAAAAGATCCCTAATCGGAAATGTCCCAAAATCTAAAAAAGGCTATACATATTCTAAATAACCTTTCTGTCTTTGTCTGGGAAGAAAAATTCCCCATATATTACAAAAGTATTTCAAAGCCTTCTGTAATCTTACTCTGAGACATGTTGAAACAATTTGGCATATATTTCAGACATATTAAATTAATGTGATATATAGTTCTACTATCCATTTTCCTGTGCATATATGAACATAGATGGTTGCAATTTTATTCATGTACTCTACATGGTCTATACTAATATACAGTTATATATATATGTATTTATTTATTTATTTATTTATTTTAAAATATCACATCACATCCATCAGAGTATGGATATACAGGTTGCCTGCTCCTTCTCTGGAATGTGGAGGACCAGAATTCAGATTTTGGATTTCTTCTGATTTTAGAAAATCTGCGTATGCACAACAAAGTATCTTGGGGTTGGGACCTACGTCTAAACATAAAATTCATTTTTTATCTGCTTTAGAACCATAGCCTAAGGTAATTTTATGCAGTGTTTTTACTGTGCCTCCATTTTAACTGTGAGCTGTTACATAAGTAGTATCCAATTCTCCACTTGTGGTAAATACGCAGAACTCTAAAGTCTCAGATTTTGACATTTCAGACTGAGGCTGCTCAAACTCTGCTACAAAGTAAGGTAATCCTTCTTCCTTATTGGTAAGAATTTGGGTTATTTCTATTGGTTCACAGCAAAAAGTCCATAACTAACAAGCTGTATTCATTCTTCAGTATGTGTCATCATAGTATAAAGTGTGATCCCAGGTTAAGACACTCGTAACATCTGTGACAATTTCTTTCACAGCTCCCATACTTAACTGCTTCCTTCCAGTTTTCCTTTGAATCTTCACACCATTCACATGCCATTCACACCATTCCAATCTTCACCTTGCCTCAGTTGCCAATATTTTCAAATGTTTTCTAAATATTTCCATCAAAGCTGTGCAATGATTCTTCAAAGCTGAGATGCCACATCAGCTCATCACCTGCTTTTGTAAACATTCTCCTACTCTAGTTCTTCGTGTAATCTACTCAATCCGAAAATAAACTAATCCCTGTCAACCCTATATGCCAAGACCTACGAAGTCAAATTCTACCCACTTTGTATGTACAGCTGGGCTATCTCCTTGCTGCTTTTCTCAGACACATATTCTTGCTTTGACAAGAAACCATTTCCCTTTGGGTTGTCTGTCCTGTTTCTACTATTTCTCCACATTCAATCAATGATATAAAATCAAGCAGTTGTTCTTCACAGGTCTGATTGTATTTCTAGCTAGCTCAAAGGGATTAAAAGCCTTTAAAACACTAAACAAAATTGAATACCTCTCTTCCACTTAAATTTAGACTGCTTATATCTTTCAATTCCTACTTCATCCCAACCTTTAGCTCCTGCCCTACTTACAACTTCCCATGGCCCGCAGTTTTAGTTTTCCCTAAAACTAGAAGATTTATCTCCCTTGTTTTTTTCTCAAAATCCTACTAACTATTCGACGTCTAGGTCAAAGGTTAACTCCTTTTCAAATTATTTCCTGGGTTTATGCCTTTCAACACAACTTGCCTTGTAGCAGTTACAGTCATTAATGTTACAACCTTTACAACGTTTTATTTTTAATTAGATATGATAGTTTTAACTGGCTTCACAGTTAATCTACTATTTTCATGTGCTACTATCAAAACCTTGGATAAGCTCTTTCAACTGAAAAATCAAATGCGGCCTGTCAGGCAATCTCTTTGGGAAAAAAAAATGCTTTAAAAAAAGATTAGTTTTCAGCTGGGCATGGTGGCACACACCTGCAATCCCTGCACTCTGAGAAACTGAGGCAAAAGGTCCGTAAGTTTGAGTCCAGCCTAGCAAACTTACAAACTGGACAAAATCCTGTCTAAAGTAAATAATAAAAAGTAAAAAGGGCTGGGGATTTAGCTCTAGATTCAATCCCCAGCACCACAAATAAAATTAAACGAAAGTTTAGATTAAATTTTTAAATTATAGTTTAAATTTTTATACCCATATTAAAGAATTAAAAATTCCTGATAGGTTTAATAGAAAAGAAAAAACATACCTTTATCGCTGCTTTTTCACTGGGGAAAGTGGCAAAAGCTGTATGTTTCTGAAACAGAGAAGACACAAGTTACTCCCAATATAATTTCACTTTCCCATAAAAAAATTCTGACAATTTACCAGTGGAATGACTTGACACATTAATAAAATTATGGGAAAAATTAGAAATTGAGACTTTGATTACTAATTGCAGTTCAGTGGCTTTAAGGCATTTTTGGCTTAGACTTAAAATTAAAACTCTGCAGCTTTTTCATATAAAGGCGTACAAATGCAAACACAATATATAAAATATATACAAAAAGTTCAAAGGACCATAGTCCCACTATACAAGTTCCACTATACACAAAAATGTTCATCAATAAACTGGGCGCGGTGGTGCACGCCTGTAATCCCAGCACTGGGGAGGCTGAGGCAGGAGGATCGCTGCAAGTTTTAGACCAGCCTGGGCTACAAAGACAGCTGAAAGCCACTCTGAACTGCATAGTGAGACCCTGTCTCAAAAAGACCAAAAAAAAAAAAAAAGTTCATCAACAGAGAAATCATTCCTCCATTTGTTTTTCTAATACGTATTTTCTAATACGTTTCAATAGGAATAGTCTATTTTTAAATGAAATTTTGTTTCTGCAGACAGGGTCTCACTTTAGTCCAGGCTGGCCTTGAACTCATTATGTAGCTCAGGCTGGCCTTGGATCCTCCTGCCTCAGCCTCCCAAGTGCTTACAGGCATGTGACACCACGCTCGGATAAACCAAATTCTGAAAGTTTTAAAACCATCAAAAAGTCAAAAGGAAATGACTCACATTACTTATGGATAAATTTTTGTCAATGTTTATAAAGTTGTTCGAATAAATACATCCCCAATTTTGATTGTCTAATCTGATCCAAGATGACCTGAGTATACTCACACTGAACCAGAAAGGGTATCTTTATTTGTATTTACCAGTACACGCGGAAATCAAGCTGCTCAAAATCGGTCTTTTTGCTAAATTAGCGATTGACAACCCGGCCTTAAAGTAATAGCTGCAGCGGTCTCGCCGCGCCAAGGGACAGTTGCACAAACACCGTCAGTACGTTAACGAAGAGAAAACTATTCAAACACTTTTGCACCAACAACAAAAAATGAACTGCAAATTTCTGCGCAGCAACTTTTAACAGTGTTAAAATATTATTCCCTAAAACATTTCGCGTCCGGACTTCTTTATTAAAAAGAAGTCTCTCCGCCGACAACGTGGTACATGTTTTCCTGCCCAGTTTACTCCAACTACTGACTGTGACTGTGCCCGCTCAGATGAATGGTTTACACAGCTGGTAAGGTACCCGGATCCAAGGGGGATCCTCCCAGACCCCAGCGCGGCC